CGGGGCGAAACAAACCACCATCCCCACAAAGGAAAACAACCAATTCCCACGCCACGTCTCGCACGCTGTTCTGTATATTTGGGTTTGTTTGTTTTGTCCCTTCTTAGGCATGATAGGCGGCTAAACCCCAACCCCGATACGCAAAGCTTAGATAACCCACACGAGGTGCAAGTGCAGATTTGTCAGCCCATGTAGCTGCTTTACTACTGGGACAAGCACGTCCCTTCGAACGGCTTTGTATGAATTCAGAAAGAGCCAAGCAGAACAAAAACCATTCCAACACACTGGAATGCAAGTGATTGAACTTACCCCCCAGATGAAAACTGGAACCCACAACCAATAAGTCCGATCACATAGTTAACTTGATATTTACATACAGCTTGTAGAATTTCATACCTATCTGAAGGGCTACCAAATTCTTCCTGCCCACTGAAGAGAAAATCCAGAGTAATTACATTTTTATAACCATAGTTTTTTCCCTGTCATTTATAATCAGATCAATCTTTTCAGAATGATATATAACTGCTGTCACTACAGAAGTTGTCCACTCCAACAAAAAAAAAGTTGAAATAGAAAACAAGCAAAAGTGGAGGGGAATGCGGGAAAGGAGAAGAAGAAACGAGCTCATGGCTCTTGTTGAAGCTCTAAATTCAGTTAAAACCACCTCAACCAGTAACCCTTACAGGATGCTGTAGAAACAGTGCATTCAGCTCAAGCGTCGCAGTTGTCAACAGCCTTCAAAAATTCATCACGTGTCCTACCTGCATACACACCAAATAAATAATAAAGGGCTCCAGCGTACAAGGCGCTGTCGATTCATTTTATATTTTATGCCCTTAAAATTTACAGCTGACATTTAGACTGCCACTCATTGGTTAAGAGCATGCTCGGCTCTCTTTTAAAGATTAAAAAAAAAAAGGTGGGGGAATAAATCCAAAAAGGATATTAAGTACCTGTTAATAACACATTGACTACATACATATACTTTAGTTAATGCTATATCACTCTTCAATGCCTTGTTCACATGTTATAACAGTTTGTAGGACAAATCTATTTCATATGATTAATATCTAACTGCCAAAACAAAAATGGATGAAGGAATTTTAGAGCAGTAAGCACTTCAATTAATGTTTTCAAATATATTCAGAGAAAACAACAGTTTTGTACTCAAATATAACTCTGGATCATTTCATTTTTCCATTCATTAGCATAAGGCAACTTTGCTATCTTGCTTATAGGCATCAAATCAAACAACCAAGAACTAGACTAAACATCTGTCCTGGACTGTTTTGCAGTTTTAAAGGATACTAACTTTAATAATTCTGCATTTGTTTATACAGTATCTCGCTTGCTTTCTGTACGCCTGAACAGACTGGGACATTATTACAGCTAAAATTCAAGTGAGCTTTTTAAAGTACTATCACTTTTCATTAGAACTGCATAATACACCGCTGAAAAGAAATTTTGTGAAGTTAGAATATTTATGAAATTGTCTTAAGTGCAAGCGTATTTTCATTTTCAAACAGAACTACTGTACCACAAATACTGGAAATGCTGCAAAAGGCAACGTAAAGTTTCTTACAGCCATTTGGCAGAGTTGCAATAAAAACAAATGTCTACATATTTACATTAGAACAAGTTAGAAATCTTTTGCCTTGTTATTTCTCCTTTAATTCACGTTCTCCATCAATACTGATGCTCAACCTGAAGGATAATGTCCTTTGTAAAGCTTTTAAACTAATTGTATTTTGGTCTATGATTACTGCATGCACATGATAAGTAGTTGGCATAGATGACACCAGAAGAATCCACGGATAGGGTATGTGCATGCATGGATATGAAAACCCTCTTAAAAGCATTGAGATCGCCCACATTTGCAAACATCTGAAGACAATTCACAAGTTTCTTCTGCCATCAAGTGAGGCAGAAGTGACATTAACACAGTAAACCCACATTTGGAGGTTTAGCACCCTATCATAGACATTGCTATTCTGGGAACTCCACGAGGCTGCCACCGTGTGCTCAACTGAGAGGGCTGGAAGGAACACGATGTTTTTCACCAAAACCTTCCACCTCTGTGGAACTTGCTCTAATTTGGAGGGCCAGATTTAATCTGGTCCTCTTAACATATTTATAATTGTTAGAGACCAAGTTATTCGTGTTTAGTGCACAAATCAACAATGTTTAAAAAACAAACTATGCGTGACAGATCCATTAAAGCGTTCAGCCATTTATAAATCTCATAAAATTGCCCATCTGCCTCAAAGATGCATAAGCTTAATTTAGGAAAACAACACACACAGAAAAGGCCCCCAAAGTTGACTGAAATGCCTGGCAACTGATTTCTGAGAGCAAACTATTCTTTTTCCAGCTAATCAAAATGGTAATTGCATTGCTGTAAAAGAAGATTTGTAAATAGACAATTCCATCCATCATTAATGTCTCCCGTGATATGCCCAAGTTGCACAAAGCAATAAACAAACATGCATAAGTACACTTTTGATTTTTCACTGCACAAAATAAAAATCTGCATAAACACATATGATACTAAACAAAATAGATGCTTTTGGCAATAGGGCCTTCATTTATGCAAGATAAATTATTTAAATAAATATAAATGATGGTTGAACTGCTTGCCATTAGCCAGGAAAGAATCATCAGAAAACAAAATGTTGTCAAATTATGTACTGTGTTATCCCTACAAAAAAGCAGTGAAATTACATGAATGCAAATTAATTGCAGCTCTTTTAATATTCAGATAAACTATCCACAAAGTATTTTCTTTCTTTTTTTTTTTTTTTTTTTTTCCTGACAGAACTAACACATGCCAATGCTTTAATGGAAGCTGAAAATACTACCTGTTTTACTCCATGTCTGAGACAAGATCAGGAATAGCTATTAAAGCTCTAAAATTTTCTGATTTTGTCAGGGTTACCAAATTAACAGGACAAGACAAAACACTGTCTCAGAAAGCTTTGAAGGGAATTATTTGCTGCACTCACTACAGTTTCCTCCCAACCTTTTTTAAGGTTTAATATGAAAACAAACCTACCTACAAGTCCTACTATGAGAACCAGTCTTCAGAAGACTTCACCATTTAGGTGTGAAAGCTGCATGCAGGTCATACCCAACTCACCTGTGTCGCAGGCACCTCCAGGTAAGTTATTACGAGCTGTTCTCTGCCCTCATGGACTGACCTTCAGTGTTACTACACAGCAAGGCTAATGCTCATACAGGACAGGGCTAAAACACACTGTTTTGCTACTGGAACTCCTCTTCAACTGTAACCATAACTTCATGCTTTGGTCTCATCTCAGAGTTTTCCTTTTACTTCCCATTTGCTTTCCTTTTCCTACCTGTGCATCAGGCTCAGTATCAGTGAATAAACATACCTGCCCATCGATATAGTCAGCATACTGCTGAAAATAACTGCTTATATGTATTTTCATTAATATATTCAGAATGATGGTGGTAGAAGTCAGGATCTAACATTTGCCAACAGAAAAAAACAAACACTTATAAGAAGATAAAACAATGTGTTTTCTGAAGTAGCTTCCTTTAAAACATATAAAATGTAGATACACAGCATTATGGCTGATCTTTAAAGTGGTTACTATTTTGCTTGGTAACTATAAGTCTGCATTGAGGAAAGGAGAGGGAAATTTAGAAAGTCTACTTAGGCAAACTCAGTTGAGACTATAAGAAACAACCACCTTTGGAAATACTGCTAGGATGTTAATTCAAAAGTCTGCTACATCAATATAGACTGCATTTAACTTTGCAAACTGAGAGCTCTTGGCCCTTTCTAAACAAAACGAGTTACTTAAACGAAGGATAATACTGGAACAACAACAATTAGGATATGAAAAAAATCACAAATAAAACTAGATTTAAAAATCAAAAAACCCTTCTAACTACCAGAGAACTGATGTTCTGGAAGACGCTTCTACGCGGATCCTTTATGAAACGAGTACAAGGCACAGATCTCAGGCCTGTACTCCTGATATCTAGTAACAGTGAAACAGCCCAAAAAGAAAATCTGAGCAAAAGTTAACACAGACTGTCTCTAAAAGGCAAACCAAAGAACGTAAATTACTTCCCCACATCATGTGGCTAAAAGTTTTCAGGCCGAATGCCACTCTACTCAGAAGAGAGATACCAGCCAGTGATGTAAAAGTCAACTGACCTGTCCCCTACACCACTCGAGGCGACGTAAACTAATAAATTCGAGTCTTCGTTAAGTATTGCTAAATGCCACCAAGTTTCCCCAAATTCAGAGAATCATTATGGTTGGAAGAGAACTTCAAGAGTCCAATCATAAGCCCTTACCTACTCATAGCACCTATTCATAACCTCAACTTCTGCATTATTCCTGTAACTAGAAAGATAGATACTTCATACTTCAAACAGCTAAAAGGAGGAAGGAATGTAGAGAAATGCAAATGAATTATAAATTTTCCTCAACTAATGTGCAACTTCTCCATAGTTCATTAATTATGAGGGTTGAAGTAGGTAGCCATGAGTTAATCGTTCAAGCTTCAAGTTGTTTAATGTTTAATGTATCACTGTAATATAATCATGCTTTTTGGAGTGGAAAGCAAACAGCTGATGCTTCAGAGAGAAGCTGATGTAGAAACCAGCATTCACTCAGTTTTTGAATTTTCTTTGCTGTTCACAAGATAGAGTCTACAGTATTTCACACGAAGGATTTAAATAATTTCTGCCATAACTTATTTTAACCTTACAGTAATTCAAAGGCAAAGTACACAATAATAAAAAAAGAAAAAACTTTGAATGAATGTAGTTTAATACACGAAAAATTATGCTTCCACTATTGCAGGATGACTCAGAGTAAATAAACCTATTTCTTTCAATATCTCTTCAAAATCTTAAGCATATCTGACAAACAACACAAGTATGGCATAAGCTTTTTTAAAGATCAATACAAGAAGGAGACAATTGCTAAGAACGGGTTTGCCTGTTGGTACCACCCCACTCACATCCTGAAGATCTTTTGCGTGTCCAGGCTCGCTCCGAAGGCGACCCGATGCATCGGCATGATGCCTGCCCAGGGCAACGCAGCGAGCCAAGGAGGAGTCTGCACGACCGAGCGCTCCAAAGTGAAACCGCTCAGCTACTGCGACCCATTCCAGCAACTGTATAAAGAGCAAGAATCCGTTTTCATATTCATACGCCGTGACTGGAGTTTTGATTTTTAAAGGAAGTCATATTTCAGTCGCCTGATTGAGGGTGACATCTTCGAGGCCATGACTCCTGAATTTCTCCCACAGCAGCCACATTCACCACCAATCTCGTGCAGGTGAGGTGTGCAATTTCAATTATTCGAAATTGTTCCCACTTCCCCCTTTTTCACAATACGACAGTGCTCTTTCACTACAGCAAATGAAAAGCATTTTGAGACAAACCACAGGTCCTTTCAAGATAACTGTTATTCTTCTGAGCTAAACTCTCATCCACAGGGTAACCATTTCTTTTCCCATAGGTGCAGTCATTATATAAGGCCACAGTGCCCTGGGTTATGAAAACATCATCACAAGGGTCATCCAGTAGCTGAAGGTAAAAGCCTGCTGTCTTCATCTCAGAAGGAAAAAAAAACAAAACAAAACAAACACAACAGAAATCATAATATTAAATAATCAAAATAGAGAAAAGACAATGAAGAACAAAAAAATGATATTATGAAGAAAAATCAGTTTATTCCAGCTCTTGTTCAGATAATCCTTTAAATAGTATTTGTTACAGTCAACAGGCACATCCACTACATTTTGACTAGACTAAAAGGAAGTCCAAGTGGCAGTCACATCTCAGGAAATCCAAAACAACTCTGGTAGAGTATATTAGGAAATGACAGAGGCACTTTACAGTTCACTACCCCAAGATGGGAACCTTTGGTTAGAAATCTGGTCAACTTAGAAATCTTTAAATTGAGTTTATCTCAATTGATATTTGTCCTTTTACCTTTTAATTGTTATTTGTCCTTTTATTTTTTAAAACATAGTGACAAATTGTTTTATCCGATTGGGTTCAAAGAACAGTTAACCTTATATGAAGGTCAATCAGTAGTATCTCTTGAGTAGAGACCCCTGCAAGGAAATGTTATCAAACACTCCTTCTCTCTGAAGCATCTATCATTTCTTACAGGTAGCATTTCTTGGCATCCTTACAAGCTAAGGCCCCAAAACACAACCTCCCAATGGACAGATCTGCTTCTTCAAGAGTTCAACAGCAGAATAAGAAAAGTGAACCAAGACAATCTATAAATTCTACACAGCAGTCACTAAGCAATACTTATGATAAAATGCACACAAAGCAGCAATCATAGAATGCTTAAGGTTGGAAGGCACCTCTAGAGATCATCTAGTCCAACCCCTTGCTCCAGCAGGGACACCAAAAGCACAGGACACAGAGGGGCATCCAGGCAGGTTTGGAAGATCTCCAGAGAAGGAGACTCCACCACCACTCTTCAGTACGACTTGTACAAGTGCTGACTCCAGTTCCTCACAGACACTTCTTTATACCGTCCCTATCAAAGGAGGGCAGATAATAGGATAATTTGCTGACCAGTTTGACCACAGCAATAGGAGGAAATCCCACACAGTTTCCCATTAAGAATTTCCTGTTCTTTGTCCTATTGCATTTCCAGGAAAAGCAATAACGAGTGGTGCTCACCTGCTCTTTTAGGTGCCTTCAGTACTGACTTGTGGGAAATGGTCTGCTTGGTGCCCCTCTTCCCATGCACATATATAAATCTCTTGTGCAACTTTAAACAGCTCCGGGTTAAAGAAGAATCTTTGACAACTGCACATCACGTTGAAAAGCAGGCACCTGAACTTAGGGGTGGATTCTTCAAAGTGTTTTCTTTGGTACAGGATGATTTCAACAATACTACAATAACCTTTTCCAATTTTCTTTTTTAAAGTTCTGCATATTTTGACACCAATGGCCATTCTTGGACTAGCAAGCATTTACCATAGCAGAGAATCTTCTATAGCAGAGTTTTTCCATGACAAGATAGCCGGCACTACACCAAAACCTTCGCTTTCATTTAATCATAAAGTTATAATCACTCGTGATTCATATGGATTGCCAAGCATCCATAAACCAGAATCAGAAGTGGTACGTTACATAAACTAGCTGGTCTGCAAGCAAAATATATAGACTCCAATCTTCCTTGCAACAATTTTCATAGTTTCCTATTCCAGATGAGCATGACAGAGCAAAATCCCTCACCATACCTTGCCATCACTGTATGAAGCTACCCTATTGCTTGCAGGATCACAGACAAAACACCAGGTATTCAGTAAAGACCAAGGAGGCTTCAACGGGTTATTTTAGGCAACCGCAGCTCTCTCGGGGTGTACATCAGGTCTCTTTCCACATTTATACAAGATGAGGAGCGTTGCTGGCATTGAAATGCCCTGACCAACTAAGCTAAGCCCTGATCAATCACAGGCTGCTCTTGCAACCCGACCTGCCCGCAATTCATCGAGGCTGTTGACAGAAGAGCAACCCGCTGCAAGGCACAGGGAATCTCACGTGGGAGCGCAGCCCGCGGAGCCCCGCGAGGGCTCAGCGATAGCAGCGCTTTGGCAGAGACGGAAGAAGGGAGCAGCTGATCAATGTGAATGGAATGTTTTTCCAAAAACCCAATTCATTGCCGCTGCCAGAAACTGGTTTCTCTCTTGTAAGAATCTACCAAGTCATTCCCCCTTCCTCCTGCCCTTTTATTTTGTTTTTGAAACTTTTTATTAAGCTAAATCTGATTGATTTCTTGACATCTAAGAGACTGGCTAATAACTGTTACTGCTAATGAATTCTTGTTTGGCTGTACTACTACTTGATTTTTCTTCCAATAGGTGCACACCAATTAGAGAATTAAGGAGTAGAATAGAAGCAACTAGCAGTAAAAACTGCTGGTTAATCAGTTTTACATGCACGGGCAGAAACTGGGTTATTGACAGTTCACAGCACTGACTATGCTAACCAGGTCATTAAAACACAAAAGGAATAAAGATGGATTGCAAACCTATTAGCAGAATTGCTGTCAACCTGTGTGGCTTGTTCAACTCATTAGTTCAGCAAATCTATTTTGCTCCAAAATTTTAAAATTTAAGTTCTTAAATACAGGCTGCTCTATGAAATGAATCTATGAAATCCGACTTCCTTTCTGGTCTTGTCCTTCGCTCTAGAGCAGTTAGATTACCTCCCTCTTGCCACATTTTCAGAAGTCAGCCTGCCCACCTGCTAACAGATACAACAAGTGCAGCCCTTTTCCTTGAAGATGACCTCTCAGAGAGAAAACAAAACAAAACCAAAAACACCCAACATATTCCACAAGCCTTACGTCCCCAAACCCAGGCTAACCCCACCACAGGTGCATAAAAACCTACCAAAGAGATCTCACACACAGTACACACGAAAATACAAAAACTTCTCAAATCATATGACACTTCTAAAATTCTTGAAACTCTATAGTTTACAGGAACTTTTGAATTTGAGTTATGAATAAATATGAATTATTTCATAAAACAGGTACTAGAATAATTTCCACAATCAGATCCATAACATTTCTTCAGTAAAAGAACCAGAAATATTCCGTACACTTCATTATGCAAAGATATTCCTGATCTTTTATGGAAAAAGTGTGTCCCTTGGACCAGAAACCATACAATGTCAGTGGAGATTTCAAAAGAGGAGTCTCTATAAAAGCCCTTCGTTTACAGGGCTTGTTAATTCATAACATACTTCTTGCCAATATCCTAGCGTTCGGCCTTTTCAGCTCCTGTTGAAACAAAAATTGGAAACAACTCCACTAATTCCATCAATAACCTCACTCACATTCCTTTCTTGCCTTTAAATACACAAACTCCAAATACACGATATGCATAAAAACCTTGAGTTCTTACATTCAAGTGTAGATTTCTCACTTCTGATTGTCAGAAATATATTACTTGATCTATGCAGTTTTTGACATTGAAATTCTTCATGACCAAGCACTGCACAGCTATATTTTAAAATCACTTGTTTACTCTTCCCCTTGCCCTCCCTTAATATGGTTGTCCTCTCCATTTTTTTTTTTTTTTTTTAACATCTATATACCTTAATTTTTGGCTAATGTTATGCATGAAATATCCAACGTTTTGGTTACTAAAATATTTTAATAACTATTTTAACAACTGCTTCCAAACAACTTGACTTTGGGCAAGGAGTGATAAACAGAATAGGAATTCCTTTTCTAAGAGGAAAATACCGGTCATTTAATTCCTAGTTTTAACATAAATTCAGTGGTGTTCAAATGCTATAGTCTCACTTCCAACTATCTAATGCTGTTTAGGTTTCTTCTAGAGAGAACCTTCTACTAAATGTATCCCAAGCATTTGTATAATATACACAATATTTCTTCAATACTATATAACATATTTCCCATAAGAAAGTAAACACCTATATGGCAGCCATGTGTCACATAAAACTTGATGGAGAAAGCAAATAATGAAAAACAACTATGAATTTATCACTATGTGGTAACATCTTCAACACTGCAGTAAACTTTGCTAGCAAAGATTCTACCAGATTTGACAACCATTGTACCCGATTAGATCTAATATTTGGCCTAAATTGTCTTCAGCAGGTCTCCTGTCCCCATCAGTCTAGAAAAGAGTGAGTACAGGATGCAGAATCAGTACCATTAAACCAAGACACTGCTTCAGTAACTCTTTTTACATTTTTTTTTAATGAACTGGAAATGACCTGGGAATGGAGAAATCAGTTAATATTTTTCAACATAACAAAATCCATCTGTATTACATATGGTCCACTCTATTAAAAGCAAAAAGAAGTCCACAAAAAAGTGGATGTCAGGTAAACAGAGTTCAAAGTATCTCCAACAGAATAATGAAGTACTCTTCAGGTATACTGAAATTACTTACCTGACTTGAAACTCAATATTATTTAATCCAAGGTATAGATGTGTGCATATTTTTATTAAATATTAGAAGAGCTCTTCTCAAAACACGTGGTACAAAAAATGTACAAGTTCAAAATTGAAAACCATTCAAAAAAGCACCTCTATTTTTCAGTTTATTGATATCTAAAAATCAGATAAGCAAGGCTTTCTAATCGATGCAATGCTTCTAATCCCTCCCAACTGTGCTTCTCGTGGAAAGCAGTCGGACAGTGAGGTGTGCTCACTTCTTGCCACCATTCAATTTGTAGAGACCACGTCACACTAAATTCCAAATTAAAGCAGAAACTGTTAGGCCTTACCTCTGTCACTGAAGTCATCCACAAGAATGATTTCTGCTATGAGGCTGTCGGGCGTGCGGTTGATGATACTGTGTATCGTGCGTAAGAGGGAAGTCCAGCCTTCGTTATGGAATGGAATAATGATGCTCGTGTTTGGTAGCTTTTCCAGGTAGACCTTGTGCTTACAGCTGAAAAGAGGAGCAAACACATGCGTAAATACACACGTAGGGTCTGAACCTGCATAAACCACCGCTCCTTCAGGCCATTCTGCCATCGGGTTTTGCGGCATCAAATCCAACAGCACTTTCACTTGGAACAAACTCATCAATAGTAATAAAGTATTTAAAATAACTGTAAACCATGTGCTATTGCTTGCCATATACTACAACTCTAAACAAATACACAACTAATTGGAATTAGACTCTTTCATTCAGTGTAGCCTTTTTTCTTGAGTAATGATAATGGACACACTTTCTACAACATGATTTCAAGATGACAAATCCTTTCACTAGCAGGAATATTTTTAGAATCACATGTTAAAGAGAATCTAAAATTAGACCCTTTTTTGTTCAAATCAAAGAAAAACTGTAAAATAGTCTCCTATCCCACAAGATAAACTAGAAAGCAACCAAACATTATTATCCTAGCTGACATTTATCCATAACATGTAAATAACATTTACAAGTACAACCCCAACTTTATATACAAACCACCGAAATAATTGCTGCTATTAAGTACAGAAATACTACAACATCACTGAAGATACAGACAAGCAAGAAAATGTAAACAACATTTTACTTCCTAAATGAAAGCAGAGCACTTCAGCACCTTAAGTAAAGAGCAGCTATGTAATGCGAGTGCTGAAAATCACCATTTTTAATACTGACTTATTTATATATCTGAGCAATAAACATATCCTTTAAAAATAAATAATGGTCTTGCAATTCAGGCTCTCCTAATAGCTGGGAACACTTCACGAATAAATGTTTGCTGAAGCTAATAGGATCTCATCGTTTCCACTTTTTGACCCCAAAAAAAAAAAAAAAAAAAAAAAAAAAAAAGAGGATGATTTTCCCTGTTGTTGATATGGCATTTTCAGCTCTGTGGACAAAGTCATTATGTGAATTCTCTTTCTCTAAGAGAAATTTGCACCTTGATAAAGGTGTAAGTGCAAGCAGAATGGCATGACTGCTTTGAGATTAAGATTAAAGACAAAACAGAGAGAAAGAGAGAGAGAGAGAGACACACCTGTAGTTTCTAAGTATAATAAAAAAATACAGATGTTTGCTGCTTACATCTTTTCCTGAAGTGTCAGTGCTTACTTACAGAAAGAATAACCATGCATACCAAATACTGCTGTAGGTTATAATGTTGATTTACATATATTCAGAGCCTCGTTTGCATTTCCACTTTATAAATGCCATTTGGAAATCAATATTTACCGCTTTATACATAGCTATCTCACTGATGTAATGTTCTAAAGAAAAAAAGAAAAGAAAAAAACCCCTTATGCTAGCTACTGCAGTTGAGTGTTAGGAAAATATTAACTGTTACACTATTGCTAGTAAAATAAATAAATAAATAAAAATAAAAAATAAAAATAAAAATTTTGAATACTTTCTTACAAGTATGATTTAAATTTGTGCTCTAGTCATTTGTTCCTAAAACAGGTCCAAAACCAATTACAAGTTACAAGATATTTGCATAAACTACACTTTATGAAACTTCCCAGGTAGTATTCATTCCATAATTGTTCACGGGAACAAAGACAGTTAGTTTCCAAGCGTATGAAGTTGTGCAGAAAATACTGATCATTATTGAGCTTAGCGAGAGAAGGGGAAAAAAATAAAATAAAGGCAAAAAAAGCCTAACTACGCACCCTAACATTCTAGGAAGAACCAAGAAAACCAAGTATCACCCACGGTCTTCAACACTTTGCTTACAATAATGCATCCTGGACTAGAACAACTGCTACACAGACATGTAATTCTTATGCCATTCCCCAAAACAAGATTTTCTTCAGCATCTATCTCCCATCAAGACAAGTTAAGAGCTAACAAGTTCTTCCTCACATCATTTGTAAAGCAGACAGACATGTTGGAGTACATCTTTTACAGGATAAGAAAGAGCCCAACACAGAAAATCCCAAACACATCAGACTGTTCTTTCTTGTTCAAGTACTGCTCCTATGAAACAAAACAAAGAGCAGAAGTAAAATGTTTCTTTTCCGAAATCTGTTTACATTCTTTTAAAAAGTCTTTAAAGATGTAATCAGTAGATAAATGTCAGGGAAAATAAACAAAAAAAAAAACCCAAACCATAAGTCCATTGATTAAGGTTTATGTTGACTACTTGGGCTACAGGAAGGCAACTTAACGAGTACTCTCAAAGAAAACACAGTGCAACTGATAAATGCAGCCATATCAACATAGAGCTTTAGTATTATGTCCTCTGATCAAGAAATCGGAATGTTAAAATTGGTAGGGGAAAACAAAACAAAAAAAACTTTCAACTACTCAACAGCTAGGTATTTCAAAATAATAATAATAGGTATTATTTGCTAATTTTAATTTGTTTTCATCAGAATCAGTTTTTGTCCTAGCATTATTCTCATCAGAGATATTTGCCATGACAAGATTGATTTAAATAGTAAATGCTGATGAAAACAGGTTGTTTCAGTTTCATAACTCAGTTCTGCATGTGTTGCAAAATGGTTTATTGGAATGAAAAGTCTCTTAGCATAAACTTATCAAATGTCATGGGAGCTTTTTCTTCCAAGACATTGTATAATTTTACCTTTGAGATTCAGGGGAGAGAACTACATCAATCTGCCTGAAATTAGCAGATCAAACTGATGCTTGTTTCAGCTTTGATTGCAATAATTTCTGCAAAAGTGTTCAAGTAATCACTTTTGGCCATGCTTGTATACTCAACATCACTGCCCTTACTCGAGGGAGAAGGATGAATATTCAAGAGTATTAAGGCTACGTTCTTTGACTATTCTTCCACCATTTTTAATATATTTTTCCTCGCTTTCATCCTTACCTCAATATTTTTGTTTCTGTACATAATTGAGTAAGTTTATTCAATTTTTAATGTGTTATCCACATGTATTTGTGCTAATTCCCAGCTGGTCCTTCTATTTTATGACTGCGTGTTGCTGATCAGATCATATCTGCAGGTGTAAACCACGCTGCACCATCAGCACCTTCTAGCAAAGAGGCAGCACCTGCACATCTAGTGACACATTCCAGCTGGTCAGCTCCAGACCTCCTGTCCTCCCAACAGGAGGGATTCAGTGTTATCCCTAGCTTCACAGGTGGCAAAGCTACAGAGATGAATTCAACCACTTGCCCATTCCGGCAATGTATGGCTCTTCCATGGCATGCAGTCTCATTAGGTGTGTGTCCTATGGAGACTTTTCTTTTAAGAGCTATTAAGGAGTGGTATTCAGTCACTGGGACTGTTCTGCCTATACTATTGATCTTCTCAGTTTATCTCACAAAAACTCTACATTACTAGTGGCTTCAACAGGGAGAGGAACATCATGATTCTCATCTTGGCTAGGGTCCCTAGTTACTATGTAGTTGAAGTGGGAGTGTATATATATAAAGCATGTATCTTGCCCTAGTATTCTCTTTAGTCCCAAGAAGTCTAAAGATGTATTAGAGTTAACACTTGAGTTACTCCTAAGGATCTTCCCTGCCAGCCCACCAAAAAGACACTGAAAGAGACTGGGACATAGTCCCAGGAACAGCTTGGACACAGTCAAAAAACCTCACACAGAACCAATCTTCTGTTTTCCCTTTAAAAAAGAAAATAATGGTTGGTATCAAAGTAGATTTTAAGACCTTGGAAAGACAGGGATTTTCTTTAAAAGTATTCAACTCTCTGAATTAGCAAATTTAGGGCTAGTGGGCGGGGGCAGGATGTACATAGCTGGGGCTCGGGGCATGAATACAATTCTGAGGGCTAGAAGAACCTGACACCTAGGATAGTGCTCCTACTGAGCAGAAGCATCTTTTATTTAACATTAATATCTTTAGAAAGGTATCTGTAGTATACTAACAGCATCTTGTCTTGTATTTAAACATATTACTTATCTAAGTGCAGCATAACTTAGCTGTTAAATAATGCTGAATAATAGGTTCAGTGGTTAAGGTCAGGAGAATGACTATTGCATGGCATAAACGCTTGGCACAACACTTACGCTACCTTTTTACTTGTTTAATAAATTTACTAGTATCGGAATAAGTTGTGTGTCAAATCTGACTTTTTTTTTTCCTCCCCTTCAATGAAGGTATTAAATTAGGGAAAAAAAGAGTTTAGAAACACAAAACTGCAGGAGGCATTATGCATTTCCCTTGCACAGATCCTCACAATTATGAAAATACCATTACCAATTTAGCCAACAAAATTTAAAGATTTTCAGGGGAGGGAGAGGAAAACAAACAAAAAAAGTTCATTTTTTATGTTTCCGGAAGGCTTTTGGAAGGTTAAAAGAACATGAGATTGCATTATTCCCAAAATAAAAACCTGCCAGAAGAAGAAGAAAAAAGTATTATCTGTTACAAAAAGAAGGAAAAAAAAAAAAAAAAAAAAGAGAGAGAAAACTATTTGCAGCAGATACCAACATAACACAGCTTAAATAAGGACCACTCTATAAGAGAAATACTGAACTTCAAAAAAATACTGGACTTAAAATCCAAATTGTTACTCAGTCCTGAGAATCCCAGGGCTATTTTGATTTCATTTTGCCTCAAAAAGGGAGCCCACTTACGCCCTACTTTCACCCGGCAGAAACAAAGTGTCTTGTTACTTCAACGTATAGGGATGTTTCTGTTTAGCTCCCTGCTGTAAAACGTGAAGAATAATTCCTACAACATTTGAGTACAGTGAGAGGAGGAGAAAGAAACAAATGCCACCAAACTGCAAAGCTCTGACCTTGAAAGCCGGTCTGCAAACAGCAACATCCAGCCCCGGCTCCCAGCTCCAGGGAAGAGCAACTGAAAGAAAACGAGCTTCTAAAAAGCTGAGAAAAGGAGAGCAGTGCTGGCACCATTTCAGCCACTTTGCAGCAAAAGCCAATTCATAAAAGCAGCAATTTGTTTGGCCCTGTGGTTATAACAACAACAATATTTTATGCACATTAAGGGACACCGGTGGCAGTGTCTTGGCCAGCTACCAG